GGTGATGGGATTCCTGGCTGCTTTCTCCGGTCTTCTCTGGATCATTGGTAGCCTGGTGGTGCCGGAGACCTACGCCCCGGTTTTATTACAGCAACGCGCAAAGAAGCTTACCAAGGTGACGGGGAAGATCCATCTAAGTAAGACAGAGGCAGAGAAGGGGAAGGTCCCTTATTCCACCGTCTTCAAGACAGCACTGTCGCGGCCGTGGCTTCTTCTGTTCCGTGAACCGATTGTCTTCCTACTCTCCGTCTACATGGCGATCATATATGGAACGTTGTACATGATGTTTGCTGCATTCCCCATTGTGTACGAGGAGCTGCGCGGTTGGAACCAGGGTGTCTCTGGTCTATCATTCCTCGGGGTCATGGTGGGCATGAACATAGCAGTTCTGTACAGCATCTGGGACAACAAACGGTACGAAAGAACTGATGAAGCTCACAAGGGATTTGCACCTCCAGAAGCGCGTCTCCCTCCGTGTCTGATAGCGTCAGTGATGATTCCCTTGGGCCTCTTCTGGTTCGCCTGGACAAATTACCCGTCGATCCACTTCATGGCGAGTATCGCAGCCTGCGTTCCTTTCGGGTTCGGCATGGTGCTGGTCTTCCTCAGCTTGATGAACTACCTGATTGATGCCTACACCATCTTCGCTGCCTCGGTGTTGGCTGCCAATTCCGTTCTGCGCTCAATCTTTGGCGCCGTCTTTCCGCTCTTCACAACCTACATGTACCACAACCTGGGGGTTCACTGGGCCTCCAGCATTCCCGCATTCCTGGCACTGGCATGTGTCCCCTTTCCTTTCCTATTCTACAAATACGGCCCGGCGATTCGAACCCGGTGCAAATATTCGGCGCAGTCGGATGCCTTTATGAGGAGACTGATGGAGCAAAGCACGCGAGACAACCGTCAGCCGGAGCCGGAGAAGGATATTACAGAAAAAGAGACCGAAGAGAAAGAGACAGAAGTATCGCCGGCTCAGGCCTCTTCGTCCACACTCGGGGAGAAGTCGCGACTCGGTGATCTCCCTGCTGTGACAGCCGAAGACGCCGCCCGGACCCGTTCGATAGCGTCGCAAGGGTCGCGTCGACCGGGCTCTGCAAAGGCAGAGTCTGTGTACGAGGCAAATCCGTATGACGTTGATCGAGTGAACACTCGTGACTCGTTCAAAGAGTAAACAGTCGCTCCTGTAAATGTATTGTGTCTGTTGAACCTCAGACTATCTTGGCATCGGGACTTAAAATTAGTGTGCGGTTAGTTGCATGGCTAGCGTTGTCGTATATAGAATGGTAAATGTGCACTAAAACTTACGCTGCAGAAATCCAGGGGGTAAAGCAGAGAATAGAATAGATCTTCTCAATAATGTCCTACAATGGATGAAGCAACTGCCCGTCACTTAAAGTATAGAGTAGTATCCACCCAAGTCACATGGGGCCGCGATTTAGCGCGTTTCTCCACTTCTTATCGAGTAAACTTATCAGTGACATCCCCGATTCTATCTATCAACTTTCGTCATTCCCTCCCTTCATCTCCGCCACCACCATCCCCCATCATGGGTCGCACCCCAGGAAAACGCTCCTTTGAGCAGGTAGATCCCACCACCGACGAAGCCGTCAACAACACGCGACACCATCCCACTCCACGCACCACCAGCGGCCAACGCTTCGGCCAAGACACGTCCTTCGTGCCCCTCAGCCAATCAGGCGAGGACGAAGACGACGCCCACGCAACAGATCTCATCCAAGGAAGCCAAGATGCTGGTGATGATGTGTCCACGTACATTCATTATGGTGACCTGAAGGCCAAGATTGTCGGCGTACGGTACTATCGCGGGCATGCTACGATTGGGGAACATGTTCGCGTTGTGCGCGACCCCGGGAATCCGTATGATTCGAATGCGATCCGCGTGGATAATGTCATGGGGCAGCAGATTGGCCATATTCCGCGCACGGTGGCGGCGAAGCTGGCGAAGTATTTGGTAAGTAGTTTTTATGTTAGATTGTATTGTGTAGTTTGAAGTTATTTGGAGCTAAGTTTGATGGCGTGGTTTCTGCCTTGGGGTGGTGTAGGATGATAGATCTCTTGTCGTTGATGGAGTCTTGACCGGTGTGATTGGCGCTTTTGATTGTCCTATTGTTCTGAAGCTGTTCGGGACTAGTCAGCCGGAGGCCAGACAGGCGCTGAAGAGTCGGATGGAGATGGATAATTTGCCCCTCGGAGGGTTCAAGCAGAATGAGCGCAATGAGAAGAAATTGGAGAAGGAGCGGGAGAAGGCGAGAAAGGAGGCGGCCAAGTTGGCGAGGTCGCTTGCTAAAGGCAAAGGGAAGCAGTTCCAGGGAGAGAATGTGCTAGGGTATTCGAATCTCTTCACTGGGGAAGGGCTCGTTGAAGGCGAGAACCTGGAGGAACTTATCGGCCAGAGCAGCACTTTCAATCCACGCGATATCGGCCATGTCGCAGAGGACTTTGGCATGAAGGAATCTGACTTGGAGAATATGCCGATGGCGCAGTCTCCGGCTGCTCTGGCGACAGAGCTTCTTCCGTATCAGCGTCAAGGGCTTGCTTGGATGATTGCTAAAGAGAATCCGGGTCTTCCTGGCGATGGGGGTGATGTCGTGCAGCTCTGGAAGAAGAATGGGAACAAGTACACCAATATCGCTACCAATTACTCTATGATGCAGGCTCCGCCTCTTGCGAGTGGTGGTATACTCGCTGATGACATGGGACTGGGCAAGACTATTCAGATCCTTTCACTGATACTGGTCAATTCTCAGCCCAAGACTCCGGAGTCCTCCAGGACCACGCTGATTGTGGCTCCAGTGGGTGTGATGAGCAATTGGCGAAACCAGGCGCTTGTTCATACTCATAGCGACAAAGCTCCGAAGGTGCTGATATACCACGGACAGGGGAAGAAGGAAGCAAGCAACCTTGACCAGTATGATGTGGTTGTTACAAGCTATGGTGCCCTGGCAATGGAGTACAGCCCGAATGCCAAAGCACCACCGAAGAAAGGCCTCTTCTCCATTCATTGGCGCCGCGTCGTCCTCGACGAAGGACATACTATTCGTAATCCACGGTCGAAGGGTGCCCTAGCAGCTTGTAACCTAAGAGCGGGCTCGCGATGGACCCTTACAGGAACGCCCATTGTCAACACACTCAAGGACCTCTACTCCCAGGTGCGCTTTTTGAGACTAACTGGCGGCCTCGAGGATCTGGCCGTCTTCAACAGTGTCCTGATACGACCTCTGTTGTCCGGGGACCCCGATTCCCGCCTTCTACTCCAAGCCTTGATGACAACTATCTGCCTACGGCGCAGGAAGGACATGAACTTTGTGAACCTGCGTTTGCCACCCCTGACATCCCGCATCCTGCGCATCAAGTTCCACCCGCACGAGCAAGAGAAATACGACATGTTCCAGTATGTATCGCAACCACATTCCTTGTTTTAAACTAACACCAGCAGATCCGAGGCCAAGGGCATGCTCCTGGACTTCAAATCCAAAGATAAAACCAGCACCAACTACTCTCACCTCCTCGAAGTAATCCTCCGTCTCCGACAAGTCTGCAACCACTGGGCTCTCTGCAAAAGCCGCCTCGACAAGCTCGCCGACCTCCTCGAAAACAACAAAGTCGTCCCTCTAACCCCCGAAAACATCAAAGCCCTCCAATACATGCTCCAAATCCGCATCGAAAGCCAAGACACCTGCCCCATTTGTCTCGACAACCTCGAACAACCCGTAATCACCGCCTGCGGACACGCCTTCGACCGATCCTGCATCGAACAAGTCATCGAACGCCAACACAAATGCCCCATGTGCCGTGCCGAAATCCCAGACACCACAACCCTAGTCTCTCCCGCCGTCGAAATGGGCGAAAGCACAGACACCGTGGACGCCGACCCCGACAATCCCAGCAGCAAGATCGAAGCCCTGATCAAAATCCTCACAGCACATGGCCAGACATCCGGAACCAAAACCGTCATCTTCAGCCAATGGACCTCCTTCCTCAACCTCATCGAACCTCACCTCCTCCGCCACGGCATCGGCTTCGCCCGCATCGACGGCAAAATGCCCTCCATCAGCCGCGATAACTCCACCCTACGTTTCTCCAACGACCCATCCTGCACCGTCCTCCTAGCTAGCTTAAGCGTCTGCAGCGTTGGCCTGAACCTCGTAGCAGCTAACCAGGCCATTCTCTGCGATAGCTGGTGGGCTCCCGCTATCGAAGACCAAGCCGTCGACCGTGTATACCGACTCGGTCAGACGCGCGAATCCACCGTCTGGCGACTCGTCATGGAGGATAGTATCGAGGATCGCGTACTGGCTATTCAGGAGAATAAGCGGAAGTTGATGCTCGAGGCGTTCAGGGAGACGGCGACGAGGAAGAAGGTCGATGATAGAGCGACGAGGGTGGCTGATCTGGAGAAGTTGTTGAAGTAGATTTCTTTCGTAGTAGCTTCAGCTATGGGAAGTAATACTTTCTGTGGGCTAAGGGATATATGGGTTGATTTCCTTGTTTCTACCCTTCTAATCGATTTCTATCCGGGGATAATTGTTTATTCTTCCTTCCGGCATTACTTTCTTCACGTCCCTATTTACTTTCATGACACTTGTTCTCACTTAGAATCCTCACCAAATGTACTACTAGTAGGATACTCATCATAATCCATATTCATCAATTTCATTAATTCTATGTATAACACAAAGACTGGGGTGAGAGATAAAAAAAGAAAGAAGAAAAAAAAAATATAAAGAAAAAGATAAAGAGGGCCGACGCAGCAGAGGTGCAATTCGCTAATACAATACAGTCTTGAAGGAAACGCCGAAGAGGGACAAGAATTGAAGGTATGGTATGGTATGGTATGGTATGCTATCTCTCCCTCGCTGGAAAGGAGACAATTGCATAGGGGTGTCAGGTATGTACTCTAATGAGAAATGGTAGTCTTCTGCTGCGATTCGGAGTGTAGGATTGATATTATGTGCAAAGAATAGTAGTAGCGAAAACCCTCACTGAGGCCTGCAGCTCGGCTTATTCTGGTCCTGCAAATCTTGCGGTGGCTCTGAGTGATCTCTTATTGCGCTTGAGTTTTCAGTAGTACTGTCGCCGCTGCCGCCGTAAGTAGGTTGTGCTGATGTAGCGGTAGCAGAGGTGTTTTGGGCGGGATCAGAGGTGTTGGAGTGTGTGCTGTTTCCAGGCGTTGCAGGAGTGCTTCGAGCATGAGATAGGTCAGGACTGGTCATCGTTAGGCCGGGGATCGCAATAGGTGTCTGTGGAGCTTGTTGTGTGATGCTCGTGTCTGGAGCCAGAGCCGGAGGGCCAACGTTGTGTGCACTTGCTGGGATGGTGGGCTGTGGTGCAGGTGCCGATGGCTGAGGGGTAAAGGGCTGTGGAGGTCGTTGAGACGGTAGTGGGCTGACATGCATTTGTGGATTTATGCCATAAGGCGCGGATCCCTGTGCTAAGACCATTCTTTGTCTTTCGACGATCATCTTTTGATAAGCTTCGTAGTTGGTACGCTTTAGCCGCTCGTCATCGAGTTGCTGCTGGGCAGCGTTTTTCTCGTCCTCGGTCAACTTGTCGTTGTCATCTTTCTGGAACAGCTCCGTAAGTTTGATCTTGCGGATTAGTCTTTGGCTTTCATCGGAATGAGCGTCCGCGCGGATGATTCTGTCGAGGACTTCCGGGTCTTTTCCGAGGCATTCTGTCACGTCTTGCTGGGGTGTTTGCTTTGCTGGGAAGAGGTACTCTCCGAGGGACCTGGTGGCTAAGCGGATTGGGTTTTTCTTGTCGACGACACGGAAGGCAAGTTGGGTTTTGAAGACGGCTTTGTTGTACATGACTTCTTCGAAAGTGCCGCCTGCGATGAATCGGTAGACGAAGACGGGCTTCTTCTGGCCTAAGCGGTAGGCACGTCCGACGGCTTGTTCCTCCCAGACGGGATTGAATGTGAAGTCGAAGATGATGACACGGTTAGCACCGAAGATGTTTAGGCCGAGGCCGCCAGCACGGGTGGAGATCAGGTACACGTCCTCTGCAGACCCTTGATTGAATAGCTTGGTGGCATGTTGTCTGTTGGCAATTGGGGTGCTTCCGTCTAGACGGCAATACTTCCAATTAGACGCCTTGAGGATATCGTTCTCGACGTAGTTGAGTGTAGGTATGCTGTGGGAAAACACAAGCACCTTATCTCCAGCCCGGACGGACTCTGCGATGATCCTGTTCAGAATTTCGGCTCGACAGGATAGTGTTGCGGCGCCCATGTCAGTAACAGTGGAGAAGAGCTGCTCTTGTTTGGACACGAGAGTTTCAACGTCCAGACCCAGCTGCGTGATAGGCTCGTCACCCGGGGCTGGTTCAATCGCGGCGCCGTCTAGTAATTTATCGAGCTTCTGAGCCTCGCTGGCTCTGCTGAGTAGCTTATCTCTGAAGCAAGTTGGGTGATTGCAGCAGAGACCCAGAACAGCTAGCCAAGACAGTAGCTTCATCCTGCTAACGTCTTCACTGCCCTCTAGAACTGACTGCACGTATAGATCGTATGCGGACTTTTGTACAGCCGTTAACGGAACAGTAATGACGAATTCGACCTTGGGAGGCATGCTGCCCTCGAGGACAGAGATATCAGCTCGGTTGATCTTTGGTTCAAGGATCTTGTTCAGGACCTGAAGCTTCACAAGAGACCGCCGCCGCTCGCTATGTGTGCTGTCCACGTACAGCCCCTCCTCGATTGGCTCTACAAAGTTAGCCTTGAACTCTGTAAATTCGCCCAGATAGCCTTTTGCAATCCAGTTGACCATAGTAAAGTAATCCACAAGGTTATTGGCAAGAGGAGAGCCCGTCAATGCAATGCGACTCTGAGAGCGGAACTGCATGGCCGCAAGAGTAATGCCAGAAATGGGATTCTTCATTTTATGAGCTTCATCAGCAACAATGATGTTGGCTCCTTCCAGAAGCCACTTCTTGATGTTCTCGTGCTGCTCTTCCGTAAGGGGTTGGCCTCTCTTGCTTGTTTCTTTATTATGAATCCATGTCCGAAATATGTCATAGCTGATAAGAAGTACTCCGCCTTCTTCATTCCAAGAGCCCACAGTATCCAGTCTTTCCGACAAAGAAGCCGAGCTGGTGATTTTGTTCACAGGCCCGATGGCCGAATCCTTAGGGGTCCACATGATGAACTCTTCGTACCAGTTTTCGATCAGCGACGACGGACACAGAATAAGGGTCTGAGATCGAAGAAGGTCATCTGGAATTTGCTTCCTGATCCAAGGATTCTCAGAAGCAGCTGCATTAGCTATAGTCACAAGGAGGGAGATGACCTGCATCGTTTTACCCAAGCCCATCGTATGAGCTAGCAGACAGCCCTGATGTTTTCCACCATCCTCAGTCAGCTCTCGCCACATAAATTGGATGCCATGCAGTTGATGAGGTTTGACACGCTGTCCGATATGAGGGTCCAAGTAGATGACAGGATCGCCAAAGCTGACAGCCTGGCGAGTGGCATCAGTATTACTGACACCCATGCTTTCCAATTTGCGTTCAAGCTTCTGCCTCAACCTCTCTTGGATAGCAACACGAAGTTTGGCGTTTTCTTGATTCATTTTTGCGGCTTGGCTCTCCTTCACTTCACGTTTCCTTTTCTTGTGGGGTGAGTCAAAAGCAGCCATGGCGGTCTGTTGCCGGTTTAAATCCCAGGTTTGATACGCATCCAAGCGGCAGGAGAGTTCCTTGCAAAACCCGGGAAAATCCGCGACACGCGCTTTTGCCTCCCAAACATGGGCTTTTGGGAAGCCCTTCACGAGATAATGAGCGCAGTTTATCCATGAAATAAAGAGTGATGCCGTGCGCAAGACAAAACTAGCCTCATCAGGTTTCGAATGAGGCAATGTGTCCTTGCCTCTAGACAGTCTGTTCAAAGCATTGTCTGTGAGGTGTTGCAGGCGTTCTACGTCATATGTCGGAACCATCCTAGTCAATCTCTGTCGTTCTTCATCTGCCAGTGATGCTATCAACTTTGCCAGGAGTCTGCAACGGTCATGACGCTCTTCCAGGAGCCTCCAAGCAATACCTTTCAGTTTGTCAAAATCGTTGATTTCGGGTAGGTCCACTACTATATCTATTTGAGGCCTCGCAGAATTTGCAGACTGTGCGGTGCCGTCTTGTTTCGGTGGTGACGGTACTTCGGTTTTCGGTATCTCGACATACACTTTAGGAGGAAGCTTTGGTGCAGGAGATATGTCTCTTGACACGACACGTTCAGATTGCGGCGTCTGTCGCGCTGGGTTCAGTGGGGGCGTCTCGACGGTAAAATCATCCTCTTCAGACAATGGATCATCGCCGGTTAGATCAATAGTTTCTATTGGCCCTTCAGGAATTGGCGGAGGAGAGGGAGAACTGGACACGACGAAAGGATGTGCCCTAGCCCTGAGTTTTCGCCTTCGTCCAGAAGGACTAATGATATCATCGTCGTCCGACGAAGGGGTAAGGCTTTGGCGGAAATCGTCATCTTCGACGAGATCGACGACAGAGTCGTCATCCTCAATGAAGTCCTCAAGTGAGTCGTCATCAAAAGTGCCATTATCAGTTTCCGAGCCGAGTGACTCTTCATCCTCGCCAATGCTTTGCCGTTTAGGAGGCAAAGGCCTCGCAGGGAAAGCCATTTTTGGAGGACACTTCTCGAGTTCAAGAACGGTTATAAGCCACTTCTGCTTCTGGATGTTGATGACGGTGTTCTCCAGGCTTCGGCACTGTACTTGTAGCTCTTTTCGGGATGCATATTCACCTTCCTCTATCGCTTTCGTGAATACACCCAGACGTCGTTCCAGAAGGTTGATATCGCGTGTGAATGTCTTGATTTGTTCATTAGTGGTTTTACCTCTCCTGGAAGATAACCAAATTTTCCGTGCCTTTGGCTCTTCTTTTTTCTTTTCATCTTGCAGCCACTTGTTCTCATATTCTGAAATGCAACTTGCAATGATAGCTTTGATTTCAGCAGATGTAAGGATTGTTTGCCGCGGCAATGGTTCCTGGCGTTCATCCTCAATCTCCTGCCATGTGTCGTCATCGTACTCTCCCTCTGATCCTGAGTCTCCATATAGCGGAAGGGTATCAAGGCCATCATCATCATCGTCCTGTGCGGGGTATTTTCGTAACAAGTAGACAAAGGGGTCATGGTCCTTTGCGCCTCCGCTATCAGCCTTCTCCGACTGAACCAATTGCGGCCACTTCTGTAGTTCGTCTTTGGAGACTGTGACTCTGCCATTATCCACAGTATACAAGGTGCACGCCCTTGGGCTGCTGGAGCCTATGACTACTTCCTTTTTCCACGGTTTACTCTTCTGCTTGGTTAAGTCTCGATAGGGAACCAAAGCTGACTGCGTGGAGCTTAACTTGACAGGCCGCTGCTTCAGGAAATAGAGAAGTCTCCGGTTCACGAATCTGCGCTGGCCAGCTGGAATTTTGGAGCCGATTATTGAGAAGGTCCGGTCACTCTCTTCTGGGTCATAGTCTGAGTCAGAAGCATAGAATAGCCTGGATACATTCAGCTCTTCCGGACCCATGTACCACTCATTGGGGCTTTTATGTCTGCTTGTCTGTTTTGGGACATTATGGTCAGACTCATCCTGAGCCAAGGCACTAAGATTGAGCTTTCTTCGTTTCTTGCCATGAGCATCGACAATCAAATCCTCTCCAGGCCGAATGCGTCTTTCAGGTGGTTGTTCTGCAGTTGATGGCGTGTTTTCCTCAGTTCGCTGAACAGTAGCAGGACGGCTTGCAGGCTCGGTTGGATTGCGATGCTCCACAGAATCAGCTCTACGTTCAAAATCAGCTTTGGGGCGATCTCCGGAAGGCTCCTGCGGCGGGAGTTTGGATGAAGGAGTCTGCAGACGAGGAATTTGGTGAGGCGCTCGTTGTGGTGTCACATTCTGGGACGGGGGCAAGCGGTACACTGAATTGTCTATTCGAGAGACAACCGGGCTCGCATAGTCGACGTGATCTTCAGACAAACTGCCTAAATTTCTGGATTCCTGGAACTTGAGACTCTTTCGCTGGAGATAACGGATTGCCATAAGTATAGAGCTACGATGGCCAAGAGCTCTCACGCCAAGGTCTTCCCGTAAAGTCTCCTTGTCTACATCATGCAGCAGCACCTCGCCGGTAATTTCATTCTCCCGAAGCGTAGCTTCAAATGTGACAGGGTCCGGTCGTGGAGCACGCGATGATGACCGAGACCATGGAGTCTGCGGATTCCGACACAGGAATTGCACCACCTCATCGACCGTCCAATCGAGAGGATCTCCGCCAGGCCCCATTTCAATGGGCCAGCCAAGCTGGCTTTAAATATTAGCGGTGGTGGAATTTCCAGAATACTCCAGCACTCTTAGAAGACCATTTCCGGTGCCTGAGAAAGTCTCAAAACGGCTGGGCGGAAATGGCATCTCCGGTGCTTGATTACTTCACCAGCCACACAAATGATCGCTGAATTGAAGGGCAAGGAAAGATGAGCGAGCGAAAGAATAGCTTCCAGATAAGCAGAAATTCAAAACAAAGGCACGCGCAGAGAAGCGCGCAACAACGAGGCGACGAGGCTACGAGAACAACGCGTCTAATAAGGCGGAGATAATGATTTTAGTTGTTTCTGCCGGCAGCCAAGGCGGTCGGTGATCACCCCACCAAGGAGAGGATGACTAATCTGGGCCCTCAGCAGGAGAAGTATAGAAGTATAAAAGTGGAGATGATGTGGAAATGAAGTTGAAATGAAGAACTATCTGATGTATGAGATTAGGAAGTGACCTGCGGTTCTCTCCTGCATGAACAGACTCCGTAATGGTGAGTCCCATACAACTCACTCCGCACGAGCCTGACGTCGGAGAGATATCGCCGTGTATGCGGAAACCGCCGATCCCTCAGACCCTTTGGATGCATCATATGTATGGTTGATGCCATGCAAATCCGGCTGGGGGTATCTCTACTATGAAGATTATCCTTGGCAGGAAGCTTCCAGGCCCACATATTCTCCGTGATGCGAAGCTGTCAGACAGCAATCATCTGAACATGATGTGAGGCTAATGCGATCGCAAGGTTGTTTTGCACGAAGAAGCATTGATTATCTCTGTCTGACGGCCTAATAAACATCAATTAACAGTACACCGAGGGTATTCGCTTCATGTTAACTCCTTCCGTCTGCGCGCAACAAATACTGCAAGAACAAATAAAGATTCAAATCAAAGCCAAACCAAACCGCGGCAGTCATCTTGACCTCTCTCATTCGCTGTTGAACAAGACCAGAATTCTCCATATTGGAAATTGAAACAGAAAAAAGAAACGAGAACGAAAAGAAAGTATAAAAGAAAGAAAAGTAAAAGGAAAGAAAAGGCAAAGGAAATAAAAATACAGAATAACAACTCAACTAAAAAGCATCAGACGACCGCAGAAACAATCAAACCGAACGGCCCAAGTCATGACCGATAATGTGAAGCTTGTTCACGGGCCAAAAAATGGCAGGTTGAAGATATAACGTTCCCCGACATTCAACTCCCGGAGGCAATGGTTGAACAAAGCGACCTGGTAAGGGTTCGGCAATGCATCCAGGGCCAGAGGCGGCTTCATCAGGAACAGCCCGCCTGTTGGCTGCCTTGCCTTGATGCCTGCACAACACGGCGCCGTGGTTGGAGTCGGGAGCTGCATCTCTTCATCAGGGTTGAAGAGTGTTTGATTGCCAGACTTTCCTGGCTTCAGGCCGTTGGTTGACTTTACCTCGACCTTCGTCCAATGGCCAACCGTCGCCAGGACTTGGTAACCGTCGCTCCATGGGTTCTTCGCACCCAAGGTCATGTCAAGGTCCATCGGGCACACAGTCCCAGGAAGTTCCATGTCCGGGACCTCACCCCGGAACACGGGCAGTGGCCCAGTTGGCTGATCAAAGTGCTGTTCGGCGGGGACAAGCTTGTACAGTGGCTCTACCTGGACCGCATCAAGCATTGGCCAGTCCTCATTGACATTCGATTCGTCCACATCAGGAACAATAGCGGTAACTGGGACGGGAATTGTGTCGGGAGCAGGCATTTCAACGGCGAACACACTTTCACCGGACATCATAAGCTGTTTGATCTGAGAGTTGGTAGGAACTCCGCTGTCGATTCCATTCTGAGATGGGGCTGGTCCGACATTCTGAAATACTCGCAGAGCTTCTTTTGCTGTATTGACAAGCATCTGCTCTTGTGCCTTGGGCATCTTCTTAGGTTTCTTGGGCCCAGTAGCCCGCATACAACGCTTGCGCTTCTTGCGCTTCTCCAATGTGTAGGTAGGTGGGAGAGGGATCCGTCCGCCAGCTTCACCCAGGGCTGGAATGATCAAGCCAGGAGTAAGTCCTCGAGTGGTATTAAGGTTAGGGTCAATGCCGTGCTCCATCAAGGTCTGCATCAATTTAGACTCAAGCTCACGACTCAACTTATTGCCTGAATCCCAGGCCAACATGCCGAACGCCTGTCTGAACCTTCCACCGCGCTGCTGCAGTGCATTGGGGGCAATACGAAATTCGGGACTCATGCGGTCGGTGATATCGCTGAGCCGGATTCGTCTATCGAGACGCATCCAAGCTTCCACGCGGAACTCGTCCACATCGGAGGCAATGTGATCAGGCAAGACGGGAATATCGCGCAGGACCTTTCCGTTAATGGGGTAGGGCATATCTGGCGGCTCGATCTTGCTCTTAGGGCCAGTGGGCTTGAGCTGATAAAGGATGTCCGGCAGATTGTCCCACGACCAGTCTTGCTGCTCAGGATGGAAAGAAGTAAAGTCGCCCGAGTCGGCTTGGGCTTGGCACGCCTCACGGTAAGTAGATTGAACGGATTCTTGAAACGAAGCTTGCACTGATTCTTGTTAGCTTCTTGATCTCGACTGGGGATGTATACTAACTCATTGCATAGTTCTGTTTCAACATGTCCTGGAAAGCATTGGTGCTTTCGGTCGAGAGAATGGCCATTGTGAAAGATGGTTATGTGTTGTCTTGATTGAGAACGATTAGAGAAGAGATGCCTTTTTCGAAAGACTATCAGATAGAAACGAAGCCTTGAAAACACGCAGTTCAATGTCTTGATTGAGATCGGTCAAGAGAAGGGAAACCTTTTCCGAAAGACTGTATGAGAGAAACGAAGCTTTGAACCTGGCACGCAGTTGAAGATTGATACTATCCACGAACGAATTCAAACGAAGAAAAGCACGAAGCAGATGAACTGGCTGGAGAACTCGCAAGAGGAAAAGAAGAGGAAGATGTTCGACTAAGTCGCATGGTGTTCGGGGGGACCATTGTCTATTTAACAACATACCATTAATAGAGAGGCTGGCATAGAGCTCTACATAGGGTAAGGTCCATGAGCAGAACTTCATTGTTCGAATTGGAGGAGAGGAATTCACTCGGGATGCTCTATCGAGCTCTTCGAGGTTTCCTATACGATGCCTTTAGACGGCCGTTTCTGCGGCCCTAACGATCGATTTAGTCTATCCTGAAGATGAGCGATTGAGCAGACAGAGCTCTATCCAACGAACCTAACCATGCCTATATTCGAATTATCTTTGCATACGCAATCCGCAAAGCATATCATCTACTGAAGCCATCATTTAGCATCATTAAGCCAATATCCCTAAAATCACATCTGACTGCGAACACTCATGACAGATCTGACTGCGTGCCCCAGTGCACCAGCCGCCAATATAGCAGTCACTGAGTCTTATAGATCTGACTTGGCCAATCAGAATCCTGGAGGCTGGATCTACCTCTGTGACAGGGTCCACCTTGAAACTGGGGCCCCGTAGTAACAAAGGTATCAATACATTGGCCTTTGTTCATGGGTGGGTCCCTATTGTTGCTTCTGTGGCTCAATGGTGATTGAATGCAGCGGCTGGGTTAGGTATTGTGAGGTCAATACGGAATTGTCTTTGTTCTGTATTGCAGGCTGGGGTGTTCGCTGTTAATGCCCTCACAAGAGGCTGGGAGTGGGCATTTTGGTGAAGCAGTGGGCTGTGAGGTATGATATGGTATATTCAGGATTGAACAATTGGATTGATAGTAGTTATATGGAGTAACACTGGGTGTGTATCAGCTTAATATGAGGTTTCGTAGCTGTAGCTGGAGCTCATCGCTCAGCCGGAGTTCTTAGGACAGAGCAATCAGTATAAGGCAGCCTACAGTAGTAGTAACTAATTCTACCATATTGTGGAGTAGTAACCCAATCGTCTACAAACAATATAGCTCTTATTGCAAATGGCATCATAATGTTATTAGTAGTGCAGTTAGTAGTAGGGCACCAAATGACCCTAATCTCCGCCATATACATCCCGCATCTCACAGCCAATAATCGGTCCCAGATATAGATACTACTAGTACTTCCCTCTAACCCGCAATCCATCATCCACCAGACAATTACATCTCCTCCAAACATCCACCACTACTGCATCAAACCCATCTTCCAACATACACCCTTCCACACCCTCACACATCTTACAATAAACTAACAATGTCCACCCCCCTCCTCCGTTTAATCCAAACCGCAACCACCAAATCCCGACCCAACAATCCTCTCTACACCCTCCAAATATCCTGCCACGTAAAGCCAAACGCCTCAAGCAACCGCGAAGGCATAACCTCTATCGCAGCAGACAGGGTAGATGTATGCGTCGCAGCAGTGCCCAGGAAGGGCGAAGCGAATGCAGCCGTGTCGCGTGTTATGGCGCAGGTGAGCACACACCCCCTTCTCATCCAATATGAACCAAATTCTCTCTTCAATATATACAAAACAGTTAATAATAACAATGAGAACAGATCTTCCAAGTCCCCAAATCCAACGTAGAAGTGATCCGTGGATTAAAGTCCCGAGAAAAGACCCTTGCTATTTCGGAGCTGGATATTGGGAAGCACAGCGAAGAGGAGTATTTACAGAGGGCGCGGGGGATATTAGAGGGGGCTGTTATGCAGAAATGATTGGTTATATACATATATATTATTTGACTGGCTGAGCCTACAATAATTATTTATTTGGTATTCATCTTCTATCTTTAGTGGTGATTGCTCCCGCAAGCGCGACACCGCCGGCCGTGACATCACATCACGGGGGATTTTTCTTTTTCTCAACTTTCTCCGCCCGCATCGCATCGCATCGCATATCCCCAGTTTAATTCAACGCAATTCCTCCCTACCTACCTACTTCAATCTTCACCCTCTACCTACATATCCACGCCTCTCTCTTCAACAACACCACCACCCAGAAATACATAATGTCAACAACAACAACCACACCCTCAAAACGCAAATCCGACTCCTCCACCCCCAAAACCATCCACTTCACCTCGCGCACACCAACATGGACATATCTCAAACTCCAATTGTACGTGCCATCTCTTCTTCGAATATACCTACGATTCTGACTAATTTCCTCTAGAATAAATAACCCCCCCACCTCCTCCACAACATCCACACCCCTCGACCCCCTCACAGCCCGAACCTACCTCTCCGCCGCACTCTCCCAATTCCTCGGATTAACGGGAACATCTATCCCTATTGATATACTCAAGATATCGCCGCCCTCGCCATCGTCATCATCAACAACATCTACCGGAGGGAAGGCAGTAGGAGGGGGAGAAGCGGGGTTAGGAAGCACAGTATGGACACGGGTGCCGCGCGATGATGCGGCGGCGGTTGTGGCGGCGTTGAGTTCGTGGATTGGAGGGAGTGCGAATGCATCTGGTGGTGGTAGTGGTGATGTGGGAGGAGGAGGAGGAGGAGGGGGCAGCGTGGCGTGGAGGGTCTGTGCGAAGGGGAATTATCTCGGGGCGTTGGTTAATGGGGGTGGGGGGGAGGTGTTTGTTCCTTGATTGCTGATCCTTGATCTGGGTGTGGATGATGATGATTTTTAGGGGGATATGGGATGTTTGGGGTGAGATAGGATAATGGATTATACGGTTGTGTGATTGGTTGAGATAGGCTCTTGGGGGCAGGAAGTAACCTCCGATTCTAGCGATTGGGCTGGTGTGCGTATGGAGGTCTTGCCTTGTTGGTAGCAAGGGTTCTCGTTGGATATGAAGGTTGTCTGTGGCATTCTACATTATATTCAGCCATGGCGAAGCGATGGACGATATAGCAGGCTGTGCATATACCCAGTTAGTTAAGCAAGTAGTATGATATATCAAAAAGATTCCATTCCTAAATATTCACATCCAAAGACCAACCCTGGTATAGTAGTAATAGTAGTAGTAACGAATGACCGACCCAACCGACCAACCAACCATACATAATATCATCCTCTTTTTTTGATAAAACAGAACACCAGACTCTCATGCTTATTGAACACCATCCAAAATATCAATCAAAACGATCTACCCTCTCATCCCTGCTTTTAAACTTTTAACCCATCACCTCTGCTATCTTAAACAGACTGCTTGCTTCGCACACTCCCTATCACTGTCGAGGCGTCCGACATCCCTGCGGACGGGTAGTTGGCCACTACCTTTGCCCTCAGAGCAGCGCGAATTTCTTCGACCGAGCGGTCCTTCCACTCGGGGTATCCGGATGTGCTGAGAGGGTACAGGACGAAGTTGTCCTCGCGCGTGCCGAATTCGTCCAGCTTGGGCGGGGGCATGGCGGTGATAATGTCAAGCTCGACGGCGAGCTGGCGGCAGTAGGTGTCGAGGGGAAGATCGTTGACGTCGTGGCCGAAGGGGTTTTCGATTTCACTGCCGATGAAGGCGAGTCCGAGAATGATGTAGGCGGCAACTGTTATATTGTTAGATTAGTTGAATTTCGTGGAGTGGAGAGGGTACTCACCGACGGAGGCGGGGATGGTCACCCATTCGAGAAAGTCGTACAGCTGGAAGGGCAACACGAGGACGTAGATCCAGGCAATCTGGGCGATGGAGATGCTGTATGCGGCGGGAAGTGGAGTATCCAGGACGCGCTCGGTGCCGGTGAGGACTTCGTTCAGAGTAGATAGAGCGGTGACTGGGAAGTTAGCGATATATTTTGAAAGACATCGGGACGGGTACGTACTGGCTTGTCCTTGGTGGAGACTGATGTTGAGAGTATTGTTGGCTATGCACCGGTCGACATATGCGGAGAGATGGTTCAAGATCTCCAGAGGAAGATGGCCCAAGGGTTTTTTGGACCGCTTGATAAGCTTTCTCGGGTTGGACTCGGCAAAAGAAACGCCCAGGTATTCACCGACTGACTTCCAGGGCGTCTTTTTCGGGGGTTGAACGACTTGGCGGTCGTGGGCCTCTTTGGCAAATGTGTCGAGGTGTGCAACCAGGCCTGCTAGATCTTCGTATCCCACATCGGGTTCGAATCGCAGTTTATGTTTGAGGGAAACGGCGAAAGCCAGAATGAGGTTCATGGCCGTCCTACGTTTATTAGTAAAGTGGTAATAATCGGAAGCGTGAAAGTCTTACAGTTTTGCCAGCAAGTCTTCCTTGCCCTCCTCTCCTGCGCGTTCTGCCGTGTTGACCCAAATAGTACGTGCAAGGTTGCGAGCCGTCTGATTGAGGAGCGCCCAGTACTTTCTTCCATCCGCCCATCTATGAAGATTAGCAGCTGTCTATGCGCAGATCAAGAATCAGACATACCTTTCATATGCCGTCGAACTGCGGAACGACAGCGCCAAACTGACCACGAAACCGGTAACTGTCAAAAGAATATCGTTGATGCCGACTAGTGAAGATTGGTCAGCGTTCAGTCACATTCTGCGAAAGAAAAACCTACTGTTGTGGACAAATCTGGAAATGAGGGTAATCACAGTGGCCCAAGCTGCAACAAAGGCAAGAGGTAAAATCATTTTCGGCATGATACTGCCATGCATTCGTAGGAAGATGGGCCATTTGGAGTGTCGATCGAGATCTCGCGGTCCGTGCTATACGTCTAATGTTAGTCCAAGTGGTCCCTCCCAATATACCCTGATATTAACATACGAAATATCGATCGATTTCACTAGAGTTGCGTCTTCCTAACATGAACTGTCTGTCTGTGGAACTGGCGAGGTTCTCCAGAAAAGAAGGGCGAGGTGTCAAGCGTCCTCGTGGCTCTTTGGGTTCATTTGCCGGGACAATAGTGGGCACATCATGGTCCGCGGTGGGTGCCAGGTGGTTATCGTGGCTCGCTTCGTCGCCCATTTTGACCTGAAAATTAATCGGTGGGTTGGGATTCGAAAGGAGAGACTGATGGTGGTTTGGGGTTGAGAACAAAGAAGGGCCTGCCTTCAGGAACGAACGTGAAAGATCAACTTGGGAATGGAGACAGGTGATAAACGAAAGTCGTAAGCAACGATTGAAAATTCCCGAGAAGTGAAGATCGATGAAGAGGACGGTGCGTCAGGAGTTCACTGATGGGGATATCTACTAACTAATATCTAGTGCCAACATAAACTTATTAATCCCAGACCAACGACTGCCACGCATTGGACATGGGGCAGCTCCATAAAACAAAGTTCAGAGCGCTGCTGCCATTGTGTAACTAACATACACTGGAATACACTCTAAATCGTATGGCAGTATGGTATGCTGCGTGTACTGGTACCTGTACAGCCACTGGTGCTGCGTATGACTGCTGCTATTTTTTCTTCTTTTGGGGTGTCCCCGCTGCAGAATTAGGATATACACGATACAGCGACCCCGGGTAGAGCCAATAGCGAGAGTCAACCGCCAGGAACGCTTGGCGATCCGCCCATTGGGAGCATCTGGCCAATAATGGATGCGGTCCAGACCCCCTGTTTCAGCAGTTTGGCCGCGCCACGCGGGCCAAAACGTCAGACGGCTGCTTCCGCCCCAGTTAATCCGCTGGTCTCATTCGTCTTCTTCTCGCGGCCAGGCCTTCGTGGCACCGCACGAGTCGATTTCTCTCCGTCTGGGCTTCGCTGCTGAAACAAAAGCGAACCCAGTCAAAGAATCAAATTTCCACCCTGGACTTCCAGGAGATATGAAAGGTCTTTGAGTCCGCCATGGTCTGTCTCTGGAGATAGGTCATTTTCTCTCACAGTCGAAGGTCCGATGGCCTCATCTGGATCAGACTTCCACTCCCCTCGGGGATAGATCAAGACGGCATTGTCTGCGGCAGGATCGCGATCCGAGTCTTACTCCAGTATACGCCTCGCTGCAGGAACGGCGTATTCCGTGCAATTAACCCGACACCCCTGTCGTCTTCCGCGCGGAGACACCGCATCGCCTCACGGATCGAAGATCGAAGAATTTCTGATAATCAGTCAATCTATCAACTACACGCTACTGACTCCTCATGTGCTAATCATGTGCTATTTCAGGGGTTGTATTTCCCCGAACATTAACCACGAACGCTTCAGGGTCCGATCAAAAGGGGTTCTATGGCATGCACAAGTTGTAATGCCACAGCCGAGGCTACTTGCTAAGCCAACTTCCGCTAAACCTAGACAAATGACACCGACATTAGCGAGTCTTGACTGCTCGTATTCGAGTTTCGTTACCATCTTGCCGGAGCGTAACCTAAATCGGAATAACCTAGTAGCCATGTTCGTAATGATTGATAACAGCGGAGGTGTAAAGTGCCGTGTCACACTCGGACAGTGACTTTCCTGCAGCTAACTTCTTCAATGTTTCATCATCTGTCCGCTTAGTCAATTGATCAAGACCAAGCGTGAAGACCAAAGCACAATGATGACCTGTGCCTTGATCACGGTCCACCAACTTTTTACAAATTGTCAGCTACTGATTGCCATTATATTCTTCCAACACAATACCACGTAGTATAACTTAAAATCGAAATAGAAAAAAAATACATCCACATCCTCGCCACCACTCAACCAAGACTCTCTCACAACCGAACCAGCTATATTTACTCCATGACCAGTCCCGGACCCCAGTATTCCAATCTATAGATAGTAGCACCACTTACATCTCCCTTTCCAATACAGTAGTACAGTACATCGGGTTAAGGATTCTACATCTACATCTAACTACCGTATCTATTTTTGGTACCCAGCGGGAGGAGGTGGGGGAGCATTAGTTAGTCGGGAAATCGAATTTCTTCGGGTCTTCCGTCGTGACATCTCTCTATCTAGTCTACCCGGTGGAAAACAATAGAGCCGTTAATGGGGCTGTGTTTGCACAAGATGTGTAGTGTGGCGTGTTGAAGAGATTTCTTGGATTCAGTATTCGGATCGAGGGCTTTGTCGTGGGTTATTTTCTACTGTTGTGTATTTCGTTTGTTTGGCTTGAGATAGTTGTAGTCGTTTTTTGTCAAGTTTTGTGAGGAATGGACCACCCATGCACTATTAAGATGTTTAGATGAGATTCTTATATTTATGTCCGAAGCTACTGCGTTCAAGTCAGATGGGAGCGAATTAGTATAGAATGTAGGAAGAATAGTGATGATGTAGGTCTTGGATTATAATTATAGTAACAGTAATGCATACTGAACATAATCATTTAACAAGCGGTAGCTAGTATCATCATAACAATAACTAGACGGACCATTTAGAGCATTATTTCGCTTCGCTTCCACTATTATCTGATTGATGTGGGGAGATCATTCTTAGATTCTATATATAGGAAGACCTTTTTCATTATAACAGAGTATATATCTTCCAATGTTCTTATAGTCTCTTCTATAGTAGTTTCTTTACCATTGTTCATTCAGCAGAATATATTACCTTTTACAGCGACCAGGATAATGACAACCATCACATATGTTAATGAAAATAAGATAATTACCGGCATCCACTATTTCCATCGAATATATATGATCATATATTACTAAGAGAGTATAACCCAACGGTGGATTTGCAGTCTACTTATAGGGTCGTGCGGATCTAACTACTTGTAGTGATGCATTGTCTGAATCGCGCAATACGACTTCAATCCCTTCATTCCCCACTCACCTCCAATTCCACTTTCCTTGCGACCGGCCAAGTAACCCTGAGGATGAGGTTTCGCAAAACTATTCAGCCAGACACTTCCAGATTGGATCTTTGGCGCAAGCCTCTTGCTTGCTTCCACATCCTTGGCCCAGATTGAGCATCCAAGTCCAGTCTTGGTGTCGTTGACTCTTGAGATGAGCTCTGATTCGTCATTCCATGACAGGAGAGGCACAATGGGGCCTGTGTGATTCAAGTGGATTAATATTGAGTATTGTTTTGGAAGGTTTAGGCTCACGTACCAAACGGTTCCTCCGTGACGATTCTTGATCCATCAGGTGGTCTGTCCACGATGGTAGGATGGAAGATATACCCCGGGCCGGTGCTGGGGCCGCCCTCTAAAGCAAATTTGTATCCGTTTGTTTTGCAGTCCTCGAATATGCCATTGACGACATTAAATTGCATTTCATTCTGAACTGGACCTATCATGACATCCTCGTCCACAGGTCCTACTTTCCATGTCTTCACGACATTGACCAAGGCATCTCGGAATTCGTTGTAGATTGCCTCGTGTACATAAAGACGCTTGCTGCCGAGGCAGAACTGTCCACTGTTGAAGAAAGCACCCAAGGCAACTTGCTGGGCTACGGCTTGAATGTCTACATCTGGGAAGATGATAGCCGGGTCGTTACCGCCCAGTTCAAGCGTGCATTCTTTCAATGTGTTGCTTGTTGCAGCCAGGATGTGCTTGCCTGCTCTGGTTGAGCCCGTGAAACTGATTTTATTGATGTCGGGGTGCAGGGTCATTTCTGGCCCGGTCGTGTCATCGCCGTTAATGGCTTGGAATACACCCCGGGGTAGAATCGGGATGGCTAATTCGGCTACCTTGAGGATACTGTAGGGGGTGTAGGGGGATGGTTTGACGATCACGGTACTTCCTGCGGCGAGGGCTGCGGCAACTTTGGCCAAGGCAAGAACTAATGGGAAGTTCCAGGGGACAATAGCTCCGATAACTCCGAGGGGGAGGTAATTCAGTGTTAGCTTGAGTGAGGCGTCTTCATGAATAACCTCTTCGGATGGAAGTCTGACATTCGCTATGAAGGACAGATTAACTAATGGTCTATGTAGGCGTAAGGGTTCAACGTACCGAAGTAATCCAGAAAGCCACATGCGTGGTCTACTTCGAGAGTCGCTTGCATTCTCTGGTATGGGGTGAGTACTGACCTACTGTCTCAGGAGGTAATCTTACTGGTTTGCCTGCTTCTTTCATAAGCAACTCAGCCATATCTTCTTTACTCGACAGAAGAGAATTTCTTAATTGAGCAATGGCAGCTTGACGATCAGACCCTGATACGGCTGACCAGGAGGTAAACGCCTTCTGCGCAGATGTGATAGCATCTTGGAGATCATCCCTCGATGCAATCGGAACATCCCAAAGCTTCTGGCAATCGGATGGATTGATGCCCTGGTGGACTCGTGAAGACTCTCGTGTTTTGCCATCAATGACATTTGCGAAAGTGCTGAAAAGATATCGCGCTCTTCCAGGCGAGCATAGTAGTCGTTTCTTAGCCATGCTACGCTGCGCGGGGGAGAATAGAGGTCGAATCATGATGAGTGAGGCTGTTGGACTGAACAGGAGAAAAGTTTTGTGTCGCCAATTCGACAGTTTAATTGACTGTCTTTCCTCACCGTTCAATCGCTACACGCAATATGCGTATCTTTAAGCCGAGGTCAATTTCATTGTAAGTAAGGGATGTCATGATGTGTTCGGGATTGCATCTGTCTTAACAGCCGGCTTAGTCACCATATTTTGCCATCTAGTTAACTAACTAGATATATCCGGCCAATATGGATGCCAAGGTACCCCGGTCACATCGATGTATCGATTTCGAGTTAAAATAGAGCAAGTGTTGTTGCTGATCGCCCACGTAGCAATTGACTGATGAATGAGCCTATGAAATCCCGTAAATCGGTAATTCCGTATTTCCGGATCCACAGAAGGTTCATCCTCACCAAGCTAGCTTAGCATATCTTATTTGTGTGTGATTATTCTTATTCTGTCTGCATATCAATTACCTAGCTTTATATAGCTCCATGTATTTATCTCTCTATTATTATTATTTAGATACCGACGGTACATCATCACACAGTTTATTTATGAAAATCACCATTTTTTTCCAGGTTGAAAGTCTGAGACTTCCTACACTTTTGGAAGTATATACAGAACGGTTCATAATATGGAATGCAAGGAAACCTAATAGAGATCTCTTATACACTTAGTATAAAGACAGTACGAAGTACTACGAGTAAGAAGTACTATATTCTCAGACTTCCTAAAATATATTCTAGTAGTCATCTGGCACGAATATATGTAGAGAAAATTTATTATCAATATAACCCCCAACAATGTTACTGACTGCGAGATTCAAACCCACTATTTTTGATTGAATAGAAAAGCAAACTATCAGACATTCCTTAAGTGTCGGCCGGAG